TTCAAACACTGCAGAAGAGAAGTGGCAATATGTAGTTATTAGCAACCTAACCCCAGAATATACTCCTATTCAAGTGGTCCACTTTATTAAAGAAAAGTTAGGACTAAAGGAGTATATTAGATGTTATGCCCTGCTGAAAAGACAGGGTCCTTCTAATGGTTTATTATTCAAAATAGGTATGAAGTCTAAATCCTCCATTAAGTTACTATTTAATAAGGAAATTTGTCCACCTAATGTTCATATTAAATGGTCTATTGAATCTTCAACTTCTGAACCACGGAATTTAGAGTCATCTCCAGAACTAAACAACAACTCCATGGTAAATACTAGAAGCCCCGTTAGCCAAGAAAATTCATTAACCATTTTGAATGATAACAAAAATACAGGGGAAAAGATAAATGTAGTGTCAGATAAACATGCAATTGAAATTTGCAAATCAAATTCGCATACTTTTTCTCACATTAATTTTGTAAAAAGAAAATATTGCAATGTCTACTGTAAATCTGAACCCTTTGACCCCTCCGAAGGTTAGATTAACCATGAATACGGACCCCTCCGACAATCGATATCTTCTAGCAAGATTAAGAGAACCAGAAATAATAAAAGCCATCAAACTGCATCTTGCCTTTTGTACGACCAACCTGCTTCGGTTTGTTATGGTTGTTTTACGAAAACAAGCATCAAACTATTATTGGCTTCTGAAGGACTTTCCATGACTACAGAAGATCTGCGAAAAATTTATTTGAAATTTCATGATGCCTATGGAATTTGTCCAGCTGAGGTAGACGAATATCTAGCTGCGTTTAGGTCCTTTACTGCTGCTGAAAGAATTATCCATCTGCAAAGATCAAGGGAATATCATCAAAATTTTCGACATGTTTCGACATGTTCTGAGGGTCTAGAATCCTCAAATTCAACTGCTAGCAACTTTGGCATGGTTCTTATTAATATTCGATCGATTAGAAATAAGACAGACGAGTTATTTTTGTTTCTGGAAGAATTAGGGTTCCCCCAGTTTGTTGTAGTGACGGAGCACTGGCTTGAAGTTAATGAGCCAATTTTCATTAAAGAATATACCACAATTGCTAGGTATAATCGTCCAATTTCAGCTCATGGTGGCACTCTGATTCTTTCTAATGACAATGATTTTTCTTCAGTTTCGAAATACGACTATTTGCTGGGTGAAAACTACTATGAATTTTCTTTGATTTATAATAAGAAATTTAACCTATACATTATTTGCATTTATAGATCACCTAGCTCTAATACTGAACTATTTTTTCAGAGCCTGCTAAATTTGTTAGAAAAGCAGAAAAATTTTATGTGGTGATTTTATTATTGACTTCGCTGCTGTTTGTGCGACCCAACTGTCTTTAGTAACTATTTTTAAATCATATGGTCTCACAATGCACAACTATTTCTCCACCACAAGATCCAGTTTCCTAACTCCCTAATTCAAAAAAGATTGCTGATTCCTTCTTTTTAAGACCAGTTAATAAGACTGCTCATTCGAACAATTCGTAGTATAAAAAGCAAATCGTCCTGTAGTACAGATGGACTATCTATTAAAATTTTCTTAAATCTTCCGCATAATGTTTTAGAGGTCATGGTCTCGCTAGTAAATGATTCCCTTGAAAAAGGTCAGGGACATTCCCTAACTGCCTAAAGACTGCCATCGTTATTCCTCTTCATAAAGGTGGAGAAAAATCTGATGCCTGCAACTATAGACCTATTGCCTTGTTACCAGCACTATCAAAAATTATTGAAAGGCTTATAAAAGTTCGACTTATGCCCTTTCTCCTTAAACATAATATTTTATCGTAAAGTCAGTTCGGCTTTTTGTCTAATAAATATACTAGTGATGCCATGTTTTCTGTGTTACATGAGGTATATCTATCACTAAATGGTAACCTCTCCTCCGCCACCGTTTTCTGCGACTATTCCAAAGCTTTTGACTGAGTAAATCACGACATTCTATTAAAAAAAATTACTTTCTATGTAATTCGGGGTGTGTCTTTTAATTGGTTCAAAACTTACTTGGTACGTAGGAAACAATTGGTTAGAATAGAAGACACCGACTCTAGTTGTAAAGATATTGAGTGTGGAGTACCGCAAGGTTCAGTATTAGGTCCCATTATTTCTTTTACTTTTCATTAATGACATCACCTACTTGAAAATAAAAGGGAAAATTTTTTTATTTGCTAATGATACCAGTATTACTTGGAGCAACTCTAATATTTTAACGCTTCATTTAATTATAACCGCTGATTTGCTTATAATCAAGGCTTGGTTAGACTCCAACTTACTTAGCTTTAACGTGGATAGGACAGTAGCATTATCTTATAAAGGAGTCATTCAACCCTTGCTTTTGAATGAGAGCCAAATCAGTATCGTTAATTCCGTAAAATTTCTAGGTATTTTTATCGACAGTGATCTTAAATGGTCCTTGCATGCTGACTCCTTAAGGAAGAAACTAGCCTCAGCTTGGTTTGCAATAAGATCTGTTTCAAAGGAACGAAATTTATCTTCTGTCAAAATGGCATAATTCTCATTGTTCGAGTCCCATCTTCGATATGGGCTTCCATTTTGGGGTTCTAGTACAGCGGCCCAATTTAATACTATTTTTAAGTTGCAAAAAAGAGCAATTTGATATCTATTTGGTCTCAAACAAACAACTCATTGCAAGACCTACTTCAAAAATCACGGAATTTTGACGCTTCCCTCTTTATTTATTTTGGAAACAAAATAAATAAGGAGGTAAATAAATTATTTGGTTTTTTTATTCGCAAGCATCTAAACATTTTTCGTGATAGACCTGATCATGGCTACTCCACTAGAAATTCGGATTGTAACGTTTACTGACCGATCCTGTCCACTTAGCTAATAAAGAATTATATTCTATATAGTGCAAAAAAACTATATAATCACCTTCCAAGAGAAATTAAATCCGCAACATCTTTCATTAAGTTTCGTAAGATGACAAAAATCTATCTGTCTGAAAGACTATATTATTCAGTTGACGAGTTTCTTAATGTATAACAAAGAAACAAAATTAGTATTGTTTATAATTACATTTGGGTGTCTCAAGCAGTGGCTACGATTTGTTTCATTTGTTGTTGTTTGTACAAATTATGTAAGTTATACAATAATTTTATTAAATTAAAATTGTATTGTTCTGGTTTTTATTATATTTGTTTTTGTTTTATACTTTTTGAACTATTTGACTGATTTTTTTTTAGCTTTGTCCATCAAATTGTTTAATAATTTTTAATGAAAATAAAGCATATTTCTATTCTATTCTATTTTATTAACATACATATGTATTTGGTCTATAGTTGACCTCTTTTGTCTGAATCCACATTGGTATTCACCAACCATCTCCTCCGAAAACGATTCCAGGCGGCTGTATATAATTCCTGATAATATCTTGTAGACGACATTTAAAACTGTTATGCCCCTATAATTTTTGCAGAGTCGTTTGTCTCCCACTTTGTATATAGGAAGTATGATTTCTACTTTCCAATCTTCTGGGATGACTTCTAGTGTCCATATGTGGTCGATTAGTTTATGGATACGCCTCCATAGCGCATGTCCACCATTCTTTGTTATTTTTGAGATGTTTTATGACGTTTATCGTTTCTTCCAATGTTGGTTGCTCAATTAGTTGTTCTGCTGTGTGGTGAATTATTTCCTCGTCTTCGTTTTGTTCTTTTTCTGTATTTAACAGCTCTTGAAAATGCTCCTTCCGCCTTTTCGTTATTTCCTCTTTCTAGCTGATAATTGCCCCATTTTTGTCCTTGCAAACTGTTAATTTTGTCATGTATCCTTAGATGTATTGCTTGGATTCCTTGTAAAATTTTCTAGTCTCTCTTCTGTTATTATAATCTGTAATTTGTTGTATTTTTCTATTCAACATTTCTCTTTTTCCTTCTACATATTTTCTTTGCATCTTTTTTGAGTTCTTCATATGCCCTTCTATTAAATCGCGAATCTCTTTGCGGACGTTTCTGTCTACAATATTGTTTCTGTCTGCTATATTTTTGCTATTTATTACTTGTTGGCAATCTTGGTCAAACTGATGGAGTTTTCTCCGATTTCCACCAATTGTTGTGGGGAAAGCTTATTAAATTCCTTTCCCCTTGCGTGTACAGTTCCAAATATTTTAGGACCATGGACTGTACAAGAGTGTTTCCTTCGATATATACAAGCAGAACTTCACGGCGCTGGTTCTTTATGTGTTTGATTTAATAGGGGTTGTACTTAGAGAAAAATAAGCGTAATTAATTGAATCTACACATTTAATAACAAGAGAATATTTACACAAGCACTAATACTAATGAAAGAGTTCGCTTTAAAACATTGTCCATTATTATATCGGCGTTTTACAAGCGCGCGAAATTATCGAGAAAAACAAATACACATTTCACTGCATTTTGGCGGCGAAGAGAGAGATTAGGTACCGGCGGTACCGCACAGTTTGAGACTCTAGTCACATCTGCGAGAGATTTTGAATTGAATCTTTACTTACATTTGCCGACAAGGCGGCGTCGGTTTTACCACTTTAAACAACCCTTATAAGCTATTTATGGTACAAGTAGTTTGCAGGCAAAAAGTACAGTCTTTAACATAAAATCCAAACTAATATTTGTGAGAACTAAAAATTATACTAAAATTAATATAAAATGTTGTTTTTACAACACAAACCATTCCTCGTTTCTTTTGTTTTTCACCTAATGTTTCCTTTGCCATATTTGTAATTCTCTTTTGGATGACATTCCATTCTTCTTCAATGTTGTTTTGTTCTCCTCTTTCATTTAATATTATTTTTGTTTTCCGCTTGTACTCATTCTTCTTTTTAGGATTTTTAAACATATTTATTTATTGGTACATGTATATATTATAATGTTTAGTCTAATTACAATAAAACAATAAGCCTTTATAATTAATTAAGCAATACTTAATTAAAAATTAATTAATAATTAAAAATAAGCAATACTTACCACTTGGTAATATTCTTGTCCAAGCTATCGAAAATCTGTAATGGGTTGCTCCAAGAGCTACTAAGGCAGCTACATCTTCTTTATATTTATGATAAGAATCGCATGCTACATCGGCTGTACTGTTGTCCACGATTTGGGAAGGTTGAATATGATTAATATAATCCCACATGCTTTCTGATTTTCCATCTTCATTCCAAGCTCCTAAAAATAGGATAGGTATTTTTAGAAGTGTACAACACAAATCAGAAAATGTTTGTTTAAATATTGGCTATGTGAACGTATTGTGAAAATATACGTGCCTCTATAGATATAAATTGGACATTTTGCAATTGAATCGCTTAAGGATATACCTTAATATTTTTTGACGAGTAATGTAGTTGTATTAACAATAAAGTAATCTTTCAAAAATGTGTTACATATGTTTCCGGAAAACAAATTTAGGAAGTTATAACATCACACCTACAGAAGAACTGTTAAGTTGAGCAAACAAGGAAAAATGAAAAACTTGCGGAAGGCACAAGGAGCCTAATTTAAAAAGAAGGGAAATGAAAGATAAGCACACAGTGAACATCGCAGAGCTGAGAAATTTAAATAAAACCATTTCAAAAGCTATTAGGAAAGACATAAGGGATTTTAACACTATAAAAACAACTAATATCATAGAACAAAATAAAAGCCTTAAAGTTCTAAAACGAAAGTTGAAGACAGGAACCAGGAACATTTATAAGCTAAAAATAGACAAGGACATGCTGCATATGAACAACAAATAATTATGAAAATTATCGAAGAGTACTCTAACATTATATCATCGAGATGCTCACATTCCAGAGGTGGAAATCCCGGTGAAAATCCCAGCCATACAAAACCAAGGATCAGAGGAACTTCCAGGTATAACCGAAGAGGAAATCGAATCACCGTTGAAAGGTATGAAGAACAGCAAATCACCTGGAGAAGATGGCATTGTAAGTGTATTGCTAAAATAATACGTAATAATACGTAATAAAAGCTTTAAAAACCCTTTATAATGCCTGCCTCTTTGAAGGAGTTACACCAGAAAAATGGAATAGTGCCATTATGATAATATTGCACAAAAAAGGAGATGCAACAGAAATTGGAAACTCCATATCTATTAGCGTGTTATATCATTTATATAAGCTCTTTATGAGAATAATTACTAACAGACTGGAACCTAAGCTGGATTTTCACCAACCATTAAAGCAGGCCGGATTTAGGAGTGGCTTTGGAACGAATTACCACCTACAAGTAATAAAATCCTTAATAAATAAAGCTACAGAATACAACAAGCCATTGATGTTAGAAGTGATGAAGTTAAAATTAAATTTTTCAAAACACAATATATGACCAACCTTGTACTGTTGAAAAACATCTCAACTAACGGCACGCAAATTAAACAGGTGTATAGCTATAAATATCTGGACCACGAGATTAAAATAGGAAGAGATAATCAAACAACGGAGCTAAACAGAAGAATAGGACTGGCATGGGCCGCTTACGCAAAACTGAGAGAAGTCAGATATTCCCATGTGCTTGAAAAGGAAAGTCTTTGATCAATGTGTACTCCCAGTTCTAACGTATGAAGAAGAAACATTGACCCGTACCAGAAAAGTAATCAATAAAATACAAGTGGCACAGAGAGTGATAGAGAGGTCAATGCTGAATATATCCCTCAGAGAGACAGTATCAAATACAATAATTAGGAGAAAAACTGGTGTTACTGACGCAGTTTAAAGGATTACAACATTGAAATGGAACTGGACGGGGCATGTTGCCAGATTAAAAGATGGAAGGTGGATGAAGAAAATTCTGGAATTTAGACCTAGACACGATGCTTATCGTAATCGAGGACGTCCTCCAAAAAAGTGGTCAGGTGATATCAAGCGCATTCAGCATAACTGGATTTAGGGTGCTCAAAATAGAATGCATTGGAATTATTTACGAGAGGATTATGTCCAGCAGTGGACTCAAAATGGCTGATAATGACGATGAACATCACACCTGCGTCAGATGTCTCCATACCCTAGTACCAACATCACATGGCGATCCTGCTTTTAAAAAGAGGGATTTTCTGACCCAACATTACATACACAAAACAACAGAAAAAGAAGAATAAATCCTTATCAACCAGAAGGGAAATAATAAAAGAACAACAGCGGTGACGAAAACAAAGGGAAAATTATCCATCACCGAAATACTAGGTGTTATTGGGTTCGCGCTGGGAATCATCATCATTCGATCGGCGCTATATCGGCATTGGAAGAAACAACTGAATATACGCAAGTCTTTAGAGCTACTAAGAATAGACCCTCCAAATTCGGAATCCAACATCTTATAAAAAAAAGAAACATGTGAAAAATTTAAGTGAGTAAATTTTATATTTTTTTTATTCTTAAATACAGATGAACAATTCTTTGATCTACAATGCTTTGGTGTCTTTTCAAACCCATCTAAATGGTACATATCCTAGTATCCAGTTTACGATGGAGGAGTAATCTGATTTATCCATACCCTTTCTCGATTTTATTATAAAGAAAAACCAATCCCAAGGTTTGCATCACTATGTTTATCGAAAACCCACCCATACCAGTCGTTACTTGCATAACAATTCTAATCATTAACCTTTACAAATTAATTAAGTTATTAATACTTTTGTCTCCAGATCAATACACCTTTGTGATGACATAAGTATATCCGCTGAGTTCTCTAGTTTAAAACAAGCACTCATCCAAAACAGTTACCACGAAAATCACGTGAATACTAACATCCACAGATATCAATCTTCCACTCAATCTTAACCCAAAGACTCAGACCCTTATCATACGAAAGCTTCTCTTTCTTATATCAAAGGTGTCACTAATAAAATCGACAAACTTCTTAAATCAATAGAAATTAAACAAAATATTTACTTGTCTAATAAAAGAGATGAAGGCATACGGTTACCGTCGATATGAAGACCTCTCATAAAGAAAATGTCATCCGCTTCACCTGCAAATCAAACTCTTACTATCAGAAATGTTATCGCCAACCCCCGCGCCTATCTGCGCAGCAATCCTCCGCTAAACCCCACGCCAACCACCACCCAAACCAAGTCACCATCGACGGTATAAATGAATCGTTCTCTTTTCCCAGTACTAGTAATGCATTTGTTAGGGATCAGTGTCGATGTTTTCTGTACAGGGCTAGCCAAGTAAAAAATTATTTTATTTCATTCCATCAAAGAGGTCTATTGGTTGTTTTGTTGTGAAAAAAGTAACATATTTTTATGACATCTACATATCACGAAAGGATTAGACGTATTTAATATTAGTATTGGTTAGCTAAACCTCCTTATTAATTTGAAGTGAAAAAACGTTTACATATACAGGCAAAATAACAACAAAAATTGCCAAACACATAAAAAAGAAAGGAATAACACCAGCTTTCCGAACAAATAACAACCTAGGCAAATATATTAAAAATAACAAGAGCCAAAATAAAAAACACTTAAATAGTGGTGTGTACAAACTTCAATGTGGCGACTGCCCAAAAAATTACATCGGTCAAACTGGTAGAAACTTTGATAAACGAATAGCAGAACATAAAAGGGCTTTCAAGAATAGAAAAACAGATTTGACATACGCACTTCACCTTCTAGATCATAATCATTCTTTTAATGAGAAATTTAAAATTCTTCACATTCAAAATAAAGGCCTTAAGCTATCTTTGTTAGAATCTATGGAAATTAACAAATTAAAAAACACAGATATAATTCTGAATGACCAACTTGAGACAAACAGTTCTCCCCTCCTCAACCTATTTCATTAGAGACTATAAATTTGTAAACCCAAGCCAAAATAGATCACTTGAGAAAGGCAATCAACCGAAACAGCTGTAGTGATAATATTTAAAATAAATTTTGTGGAAGTTTTCAGTGTTTTATTGTTACATAAAATGAATTTCCATCAAGTAACGGTCGAATCCATCAATTATTTAAAAAACGTTTCATTAGGAATTTTTAAATATCATTCTAAATTATTCATGATTCCAAATTATTCGTGATATATATATATATATATATATATATATATATATATATATAATATATATATATATGTATATATATATATATATATATATATATATATATATATATATATATAATTAAATAAGACATACCTTCAATTTGAGCCGCAGCCGTTGAACAGGACCAGAAGAAATCCTTAGGAAATCTTTTATTATTTATTGTTTCAGCAGTACTAAAATAAGATTTGTCATGAGTAAAATTTTAATTTACTTTTTTTAGTAGTTTTAAAATAGCATATTGAATTTACATACCATAAGAAAATAGCTTCAGAACAATATAAAGTTTTAAATATTACTATATTTACAAATTTTTTTGTCGTGAACAAAAACTTGGGTTTTTGGAAACATTTGTAAAGACTTTAACCGAGATTCCTATTTATAATAAAAAACCATGAAAACCACCAAAGTCTAAAAATTTCCTTTATAAAAGGTAAATATAATATTATAAAGGAAATTTTTTAAACAAAACTGTTTTGTGCTACATGATGTACAGCCAACTACAAGAATTTAGTTTCCACGTGGCTTTTAAAAATAATTGTTCAATCCGTAAAAGTAAAAATCCGCAAAAAATTGGTATAATCAATGTTTCGCAAATTTACATTTTATAGGTCTTTTGAAAGTAATAACTTTGGTAATAATTTTTGTTCTTGCATAATAACTTTGGAATTCTCCGAGCTATGATAAAGGAAAGTGAAGAGTTTTCGAACTGTTTTCAAAGAAACTAACTGATGAACAAAAGAGACGGAGAGAACGGTATGAAGAGGATAAGAAAGATGTTGTAATGAGATGTAAAAAATGTGAAAATCTGCAATTTAAAACAGAAAAGGTGAAGAGGCAAACGAGATGATGGAAATATTATAACCTTAGAAGTAAACAATATAAAAAAAACGAAGAATGTATGCAGAAATGTTAAGAGATTTAAAAGCAAAAAACCAAAAAGTAAAGGAAAAATAATAATGTTATTAAAACAGAAATTCGACAATTTTTAGTTATTAGCCAACATTATTCAACGCTTAGTTAAATCCCTAACACCTAAATTAATACAAACACTAACGGTTATTGACTATATAAAAATAGCAACAAAGAACATCAAAATCATTTCATCTTTATATTCTAAAACTAAGTATCCTATAGACAAATTAGATAAAACAAATGTAGTATACAGCATTAGTTGTACTCAGTGTGAAGCTGAGTATGTTGGTGAGACCGGAAGAAATCTCTCAAATCGCATTATTTCTCACAAAAGTTATTGCAGAATTAAGAAACCATCTTGTGCTTTGGCAGAGCATCTACTAGACAAAGACCATATTATTATGGATTTTGATAATATTAAAATTTTATGTTGTGAAAGTAATAAATTTAAAAGAACTTTTTTGGAAATGGTTTGTATTAGCAAAAGTGATAATAAATATGTAAAAATATAAATAAAGTGATAATAATTAAACAAAAGGTCAGAAATTCAAAATCTAAGCAAAATTTATAATTATATTATTTCTATGTAGTTTATATATGAAAACAGTAAAATATCACATTTTGATTTAATTTTTCATGTATTTGTTACATTTTTTTAAGCATCTATCAATGGTGAATAAATCTTCTTCTTTTTTGTTACTAAACAAAAAAGAATTTTTAAACAAAATTTTATTTTTGACAATATAATTATCAAAGATAAAAATTTTTAAGTTGGTATTTATAACATTGTCCGTGTGGAGTGTCTGTCTCCCATCGGACGCGTCCCCAGGTGGTGGATAGGGGAACGCCCTAACCGGTCCCAGGATCGGCGGGTAGGTGGGAAATAAAATACCACCCGCGAACCAAAACAGACTAAGGTATGGTAACCCTAACAGAAGAGTCTCTGGTCCTTCAAGTCTGGGGGTTGGGAGTAGGGCTAACAACCCTACCCTGGAAAAAAAGAATTGTTACGAAAGCTGAAAAAACAAAAACCGGACGGACCTTATGTAGACGATCTCGCAAAAGAAAAAAGGATATTCGATTTGGATCATGGAACGTGAGAACATTGTACTCTGCAGGAGCGATGAGGTGTCTCTTAGACACTCTTAACAAATATAATATGGATATAACAGCTATACAGGAGATGCGATGGAAAGGAACCGGTACTCTTCAGAAGAATCTGAATACCATATATTATAGCTGCCATCAAACTCAACATATCTTTGGGTAGGCTTTGTAGTTAGCAAAAGAGTTAATAAGCTAATAATAGGTTTTGACGCTATAGATCATAGAATATGTGTTCTTAGAATACGTGGAACATTCTTTAACTACAGTCTTATAAATGCACATGCCCCCACTGAGGATTAAACAGACACAAAAAAAGAATTATATGAGAAACTAGAACAAACATGTAGACAGTGTCCCAATAATGACGCTAAGTTGATTATCGGAGACATGAATGCCAAGGTCGGACAAGAGGAGATGTACAGACCAACCATAGGACCTTACAGCATACACAAAGAATGTAATGATAATGGGACGAGACTTGTAAATCTCGCAGCATCTCTAAACATGACGATCAGTATTACATTATTTTAACATAGACGTATACATAAAGTGAAGTGGACATCGCCAGATCATCAGACCCAAAATCAGATAGACCACGTACTGATTGATTTAAGACATGGATCAGATATACTAGATTGCAGAAATTATAGAGGTGCAAATATTGACTGAACCAAAAATAATCAAATATAATGTTGATAAATTAAAGTGTACTTAAGTCGTAAGAAACTTCCAAATATGCTTAGATCGTAAAATATCAGAACATCCCAGAAGTGAGATATATCCCACTGAACTTAACACAAATTGGGAGTTTATGAAAACCACGTTCAAAGAGACTGCAGAGGAAGTGCTGGGTGAAGTACTGGGTGAAGTACCCAAAGGACAGCGAAACAACTGGTTTGATGAGGAATGCCAACGAGTAACGAAAGAGAAAAACGACGCGTATATGAAAATGATCAACAGAAGGACTAGGAGCAATGTTGAAGAATATCGAGTAAAGAGACGAGAGAAAAACAAAAACACAAACAGAAAAAGCGGCAACAAATCAATAAAGAGTTCGAAGAAATGGAAAACCTTAACAGAGAACACGAATACAGAAAATTTTACAAACAGGTTAACACAAAAGAAAAGTTTTCACACCACAAGCGAACCAAGTCAAGGCCCTTAACGGAATTCTTTTAAACGTGGGAGAGGAAGTACTAGAAAGATGGCAGGAACATTTTAGTACGCTACTTAATGGAGAAAGTAGAGCTGAAGGTAGATATGATATAGAAATAGAACACGAGGATACTGAACTACCAACTTTGGAAGAAATAAACAAAGCAATTCAGTCTCTAGCCAGAAAGAAGTCACCCGGAGCAGACAACCTACCAGCAGAAATATTTAAATGTGGCGGTCAAACATTTGTAAACCCTCCTTCACAAACTACTAATACAGGTATGGCAAGAACGCGCGTTACCAGAAGATTGGAATACTGGAATTATATGCCCCATACACAAAAAAGGAAACGTTATTGAATGTTCCAACTTTAGAGGAATTTCCCTTCTTAATACAGCATACAAAATTGTGTCCCTGATACTTAACGAACGACTGGCACGGTATACTGACAATATAATAGGATCCTATCAAAGAGGCTTCTTGAAAAACAAATCTACCATTGATCACATATCATCTATCAGACAAATATTAGAAAAAACGACGGAGTACGACATAGACTGCCATTACATCTTCGTAGACTTTAAGGCAGCGTACGATACTATCGACAGGTCCCAATTATATTCGGCGATGATCGAATTAGGAATACCAAAAGGTTTGGTAGAATTAATTAAAATGACAATGATGAAAGTCGAATGTAAAGTGCGCGTACAAGGGGATGTTTCAAAACCATTTAAAACCAACAGAGGACTGCGCCAGGGAGATGCGCTATCGTGCACGCTGTTCAACCTAGCGTTAGAAAAAGTTATGAGAGATTCGGGAATAAACTTAAAAGGTATGATATATACCCGTAGTATACAAATAATGGCATACGCTGATGATATCGTCATAATTGGAAGAACCCAAAATGAAGCAGTGGAGGCTTTCATACGTATCAAAAATGCCGCAGAAAACATCGGACTTCTGATTAACATCCAGAAAACTAAATATATGCCGGCCATATCAAGAATTCAACAAAATAACTTAGAAGTGCAACACGAAACGATAGAAATGGTAGAAGAATTCTGCTACTTAGGATCACTGGTAGACTACAAAAATAACACATCCAACGAGATAAAAAAAGAATATGCGTGGCTAACCGCTGTTATTTCGGCCTGGGCCCTCAACTAAGAGCGAGAAGTATGTCAATAGCAACAAAGTGCAAACTTTATAAAACAATAATACGCCCAGTGCTCACATACGGATCGGAAACATGGACAATGACGACCCGAGATGAAGAGTTACTAGGAGTCTTTGAAAGAAAAGTATTGAGGACCATATTTGGCGGAGTAAACGAACAGGGTCTGTGGAGAAGGCGATATAACTTTGAACTCTATAGACTTTTTGGTGATGCAGATATTGTGAAGACCATCAAAATAATCCGCCTAAGGTGGGTGGTCCACGTTATGCGGATGGATGAGAGTGATCCCACTAAAATAATTATGCTAAACAGGCCGGTCGGAAGAAGAAGAAGGGGGCGACCTAAACTCAGATATCTGGACGATGTACAGGAAGATCTGAGGGAGATTGAAGTGAGGGGCTGGAGAAGACAGACACTCGATAGAGAAGGATGGAAGAATGTTTTGAAGCAGGCCAAGGCTCACGAAGGGCTGTAGCGCCAACTGATGATGATTTATGACATTGAGGCTTATTTGTAGCTATTCAATTTTATTTACAAATTGTTTTTGTTAAGAAACTTATTCAAAATATAAATTTCAGAGAAACGTTTATTAGAATAGAACATTTTTGTATTAATGTTTTTTTATGTTAATATGTTAGCAGCATTTCTTTTATACAAAACTATTTATTTGGTGAGTTAAATTTTTTTATTTCTAATTCAACTTTGTAAGATATTTTGTATTTTTTAGCAGCTCTTGATAATAATTGTAATTGAAAGCTCGAGTAAAAAATAGTTAACAAGTAGCCCCTTTTATTGACTCCAACCCATCCAAAACAGTTTTATATATAAATATATATATATATATATATATATATATATATATATATATATATATATATAATATATATATATATATATATATATATATATATATTATATATATATATATATATATATATATACGCAATAGTGAAATCGGAACCTGTATATTTTGAATTTGATTCAATTAAAACTCGCACAGAATTTTAAAACTTGTTGGCTTTTGTATGAGTAAAAAATCAGAGATTTATAGATAAAAGAATTTTTCGCAACGTGAAATTTTGAAAATGTTTTTAAGTTCTGGACAGTATTAAAACAAAACAGTCAGAAAATTAATTCCACTGACATATTATAAAACTTCTAGTTATCAAAACAAATTTTTTCAACAAATCTGAGGAAAATAGAGGAAGCTCCATGACAAAAAATATTTAATATAGGCTAAAAAATAGGGAAACAGATCATAAACATTAAGATAATAATTATTGTAAAACTTACCAATAGTACGCCAGTAGTAATGGCAAAACAAGTTTTCTAAAAACCATAATAAAAGTTATAAAAAATTACCAAAAACATTTACTTTTATATTTCTAAATGTTTAAATAATATATACTTATATATATATAAATAATATCAATGATCTTCTAGTCATACTTGAATTTTTAAGATTTGATTATTATCTGATAAACAGGTGTAACCATCTAAATATGCCTTGTAATGTTTATACAAAATCAATATTACAAAATGGGTATTTAATTCTTGAAAACCCAGAGCGAAGGAGATTTTTATTTTAAAATACTATATTAAGGTTTAAACTACCTGACCCGGTGAACTTCGTACTGCCTTAGAATTAAATATTGTTTCTAAGAAAGTACTGTTCGTTGCAAGATATTTCGGATTTAATCTTATATATATATATATATATATATATATATATATATATATATATATATATATATATATATATAGGACATGCAATTAAAAACGAAAAGGAAAATCAAACCCTAGAAATTAAAAGAAGGACACAATTCTCATGGGCTGCTTGTGGTAAGTTGAGCTTCATTTTAAAAGAGAGAAAAATTCCAATTCACTTAAAACGAAAAACCTATGACACTTGTATACTACCAGTTGCAACTTATGGATTGGAAACTATCGCAATAACAAGAAAAATGGCAGAACAATTAAGAGTAACTCAACGGGCCATGGAGAGGGCCATGTTAAGTATAAGCCTCAGAGACAAAATTCCTAACACCGAAATACGTCGAAGGATTAAAGTAACCGACCACATGGGAAAAATAGCGACATTGAGATGCAAAGGGTAGCACATGTAGCAAGACAAGACACAACAGATGGTCTCATAAAGTGACATTCTGGAGACCTCGAGAAACAAAAAGAAGCGTGGGAAGACCTAAAAAGAGATGGATAGACGATATAACTGATGTAGCTGGAAAGCAGTGGATGAGAATTGCAAAAGATAGGGAAGCGTGGAAGCAATTGGAGGAGGCCTATGTCAACATTGGATAAATGAAGGCTGAAGAAGAAGAAGAAGAAGAATCTTCTAGGTATAGTTGTATACAGGATCGAACTTATATACTGATACATTTTATCAAAATTACGGCAATCCCACAAAGTAAAAGAAAAATATTAATAAGTAATACCTTTATATTGGAATATATATTTAAAATAGTGAAAAAATACAAAAAAAAAATTGAAACTTGACTATTGTTCACATTTAAATCGGTATCACTATCATCTCTATCGTTTAAATCTATAACTAGACTATTTATAATATTTTGGAACTGTAAGGCCGTGCGCACATGGGTCGATCAAAGGCACGCGTCTAAGATCATGCGCCGTGCTCGTCTTATACGAACCCTGCTGCACGAGCGATTGTTCACCGCACCTAGTCGATTCAGTTTGCTGTTCCACAAATGGATGTGTTTGCTGCTGATCTCCGGATGGATGCTACAGAGATATAACAAGTTCTTTTTGTGAAGTGGAAATATGTAAATCAAGGTAACTGTTTTTTTTGTGTTCAAATTTTAAACTAAAGACAGACAATTTTTATGAAATAATAATTGCTTTCGTTACATTTAAAATTGTAAATTTTTGGTTTTGAGTTGAGCTGTCAATTTATGTGTTTAGTTTTTTTGAAATTTAATGTTAATTTATGACAGCTCGTTTTATTATTTTTTGATTTTACTTTGTTTTGTTTAAAAAAAAAAGGTTAACCTCCATGCAATTTTGTAAGTTTTGTAGCAACAGAGTTTGTAAGAGGATGACACATCTAAGTTTTTGTGTTTTGTTTTTTCTCCATGTAACTGTTTGTGGTGACACATAAATAAAGGTTAAATTTTGTTGTCTTAACTTTTTATTTATTTTTTTGAGCCAAACCTTTTTTGATTCTTATTTGAAAAAGATATGTTTTTTATGTTTTGATTTGTTTTCTAATTATTTCCCTAGTTACAACTTGTGGTTGTAATAGGTATAATTAGGCACCTCAAGTGGCGCCCTATATTAAATTCCTTGAGGTATTTCTTGTTTATTTTTATTGTGTTTATTCCAAAAGATTAATGACCCCCTTTATTTCATTTTGTGTAGTTGCCCCATTCTAATCCCCTTATCTTTTACTTATCCACGACCCCAGCTCTCCTACCAAACCCTGAGTGCCGTTCGCACAAGTAGCGATTATTTTGCTTGCCTTATCTCCACCCCTTTAGTTTCTTCCCCCAATTTTCTACCCCTTGTATTAATGCCCCCTGTGGTAGGCAAAATATCTTAAAACAATTATTTTAGGTCAAAAAACAATAAAAAACAAAGAAAGCAAATACAATAATATTATCCCCATGAGTGAAAACGTGCGTCTCACTCGAACTCTTTCGTGCGCTACCGATGGCATGTGACGAGAGTCGTACAAGACGAGGAGATTTGCAATTCTGGACGACCACTTAACGCCCTGTGTGTGGAGCTCAATACAACTAAGAAGGAACTTAGGCGGTGGGGATAGACCTACGGGATTGAAATCGAGTCGACTACTTCGAGCGTCGACCCATGTGTGGACGGCCTAAGTATTTTTCTTCTAGTTTTTTGACATGCTCTATACATTTTTTCAAATTATCTGCTATAATATTATTACATTCGCCCTTATTTAAAACTACAATAGTCGAAAATGATTTAGAAGAGTTTATTATTTTTAATCACATTACTTTTTAATTGAGACCACAACAATTCTATTGGATTCAGTACACAGCAGTAAGGAGGTAATATTAATACTTTGTGGCCCGTATTCTCGGCAAGCCTATTGATAACTTAATTTTTTTCACATTTAACCAATTTTAATAGTTCTACCTACAAGTTGTTTTTGTTTTTTTTTTGTAAGAATCAATAAAATATATTTCATGTTTTAATAAAAATTCTTGAATTTCAACTTTGTTTGAATTAGCATTTGGAATTTTACTCTTTAGTCTACAATACTACCGAGCATTCTATAAAATAATAACGTTATTTCTTTTTAATTTAGGTAGTAATTGCTGCTCAAACCACTTTTCAAAAATACTGTCCATATTTTGATAATAATCTAAGCGATAATCACTAACACTCTTAGCATAGAGTAATAAAGCATGTTCTACCCATCCTGGATCTCCCCCACAATGTAAAATCCAAATTATCTTCCCTCTAGAGGGAGGAACATTGGTGACACAATTTTTACTACCATCGGTCCAAATGTTTGAACTATATCGTGGGTATTGAATCCAGTTTCATCCAAATAATAAGTTCTTCCCTTCACCTCTAAAAGACCTTAGACTCTCCAAATAATTGAACCTCCACTTTAAAAACGACTGGATTCCATAATTGCCTGCCGTTTGTTCACTGTTTTAAATATTAAACCATTAGATTTTAAAAACCTCCAAAAAGTAGTTTTATGACACTCGAGGATTATTTCTTTGTTTCTTAATTCACTCAAAAGTTTATTTAAAGTTGGTAAGTTATTCACTGAATACGATATATTGTTTCCCGTATAGCTGATAAATATAAATTCGGTAATACTAGATGGGCACCAGAATCCTTTCTCTTTTTCGCAACACTGGATCGTCTTTTATAAGTTCGTATACAGTAGATCGTGGCACTTGTGTCAAAAAAACTGTCTTTTGATCGCTTCTACTTTAACCATCGTCAAAAGAAGACCTAAGAAAAATATGTAATTTTACTTTTTAAGGAATTCTGCTCGGAATTCTGTGTTGCTCATCAATTAATTAATCGGTAAATATGATTAACCTTCCTAATACCGGGTGGGGCGAATTCTCGCCCCAGGTCTAATGTTTTTATTAATATCTGAAATTAAGTGCAATCAATCGCTTTGACGGTTTAGGACATTGGTAGTTGATATATTAAGAGCACAAAAAAGTAGTTAAACCCAAAATACCGCGAATAGAACATTAAATATTCTCGTCGGATTTCGCTGAAATGTATGAGGGGCAAAAATTCGCCCCACGTGGTATCGAGTGTTTTCACGTTCTTCAGATCCTGATTTTATCAGTTTAGACACAAGTTTTGGAAAATCGTTACTAATGACTGTAATAATTACTTACCATGATGTGCAGTCGCATTCTTTACATATTAGCACTGAATTGAAATATGTTTCCTTAATCTTTGAAATTTCATGCTTGCTATTACACAGTGGGAACTTTTATAATTCCCCTATTAGCATTATTTTTGTATAGATTCTTCGAATCATTACTTTGTCTCTCTAATAATTTGTAAAGTGTAAAAAAGTGACTGTCTTCTAATGAAGATAAAGAAAATCTGTTGGTCAAATGATTATTTTATATTTCTGATCGTGGTTTTCCAGCAACAAAGCTTCAGCTCATTGATTCTGTAGAATTAATTTTCAAACTTAACAAACAAAATAATTTTAAAAATGAAAGATCTGGTAAAAAGTGTAATTCTTGCTTTCTACAAAGACATCCAGACTTAAAACATAGAGTCGCGTAAAACCTAACCACCGGGCGGTTATCTGTCAATGGAGAAAATTGACGCCGCTGGTTTAGGGATACTAAATCGTACGTTGAGGAGAATAATTATTACATATTTAATTATCCTAAACGAGTATTCAATGCTGATGAGTCGGCTTTTTATATGAATCCTAAAGAAAGACGACTTCTTACACGCAAGGGAGATTACACTGTCTACAGCCATCTGCCAAATGACGAGAAAGAGTGCTTACTGTTCTTATGACAGCAAACGCAGCACGAAACATTGCCCCAGGCATGGTGATGTTTGCTTATGAAAGGATTCCACCGGGTATGTCTGCTTCTATGCCAAAATGTTTTGCAATTGGTAGAAGTGAAAGTGGATGAATGACCGTGGAAACTTTCTATGAGTATATGACAAACATTTTTTATCCTTGGCTGTGGAAAATAAAATTGAGTTTCGAATTATATTTTTCGTTAATGGACATTCTAGTCACTTGACTTTGCCTCTTAGTGATTTCTATACTGAAAGAAAAATTATTCTTGTTGCATTGCATCCTCATTCGACACATATTACGCAGCCTATGGGTGTAGCAGTTTTTAGACCCTTAAGAAATTGCTGGGAAAATAAAGTAAACAATT